GCACAAACCATCTATTCCAGCCCTTTCAAGTAATCTTCCACACCCTCCTGCTCTGTTCTAAACACTTTGTTTTCATTTTAACACACAGCAAAGTGTGATTCTCCAGTGTGCTCTGTTCTGTCCATGAACACACATGTATGCAGCTCCATATAACCACCACATCATGCAGGGTACAGAACAACATCAACACCTCCAAAATTCCCCCAGTATGCCTTTGTAGCATAATAGCAGAATCCACTCTCCCCTGCCTCTACCGACAGGCAATCACTGTAGTTTTGACCGCTCATGAATTCCTGTAAATGAAAATACAGAGAATATCACTTGATCACTTTATCACTTGACAGAGAATATAAAGTCTTTAAAAAGTGGCTTCTTACACTCATCATGTGGTCTTTGAGATTCATCATCCATCCTTTGCTCCTCTCTCTTGCTGGACAGAAAGAAGGCACAGTTCCCACTGTATAGATGGCCCACAGTGTCTTTTTAATCCATTCACTCATTGAAAAAACTGTGAGGCTGCTTCCACATTTTTGCATTTGTGAATAGAAATGTGTCCAGTTTTTCTTAGAATAAAAGTATGCATTTCTTTATGCTGGAGTGTGATTGCTCCATATGGTGTCTCTATTCTTAACTTTTTTTGTTGTTTTGCTTTGTTTTGTTTTGGGGTCATACCCAGTGGTTCTCAAGGCATACTCCCAGTTCTACTCTCAGGGATCACTCCTGGTGGTGTTCAGCTGACCGTCTGTGGTGCAGGGATCGAAACCTGGTCAGCCACATGGAAGGCAAGCACTCTACCCACTGTACAATCATTCCAGCCCCTAGTCTTAACTTTTTAAGAAATGGCCACATTTTTCTGGAATAACTGCAGCACCTATAGTGATGTATGAGGGTTCCAATTGTGCCACACCATCCTTTCTCGCACTTGTTACAGTCAGTGCTTTAATTTGGTCATGTTAAGTTATTTTATGTTTATGTCGTGTGTTGTATAATGTCGTGTTTTTGGTGTGTTATGGTAGCACTGTAGCACTGTCCTCCCATTGTTCATCGATTTGCTCGAGCGGGGCCCAGTAACGTCTCTATTGTGAGACTTGTTATTACTGTGTTTGGCATAGCGAATATATCACAAGTAGCTTGCCAGGCTTTGCTGTGCAGGCGAAATACTCTTGGTAGCTTGCCAGGCTCTCCAAGAGGGGTGGAGGAATTGAACCCGGGTCTGCCAGGTTGGCTACGTGCAAGGCAAATGCCCTACCCGCTGGGCTATGGTATATTATATTATTATGTTATGTTGTCATGCCCAGTGATGCTCAGGGCACATCCTATCTCCTGCTCCCTATCTGGCTGCTCTTACAGAGGTACAGGAGCCTCTATCTCAACATAGTTTTTTTTAATACTTGGTTTTAGTTTGGGGCCCACCCATGACGTTGCCCAGGGCTTACTCCTAGTTCAGGGATCACTACTGATGGTACTTGGGTGACTATATTCTGTGCCAGTGATTTGACCTGGGACAGTTTGCAAGCAAGACTAGCACCTTACCTGCTGTACTAGCTCCCCTGCCCTCTACATGGTGTAAATTTGTATTTCCAAAAAGCTAATGTTGTTCAATATATTTTTTAGTGTGCTTATTTTAAATCTGTGTATCTTCTTTGGTGCAGTATATTTCAAGAGATTTGCCCATCTCTTAATTGGGTTATTTGCTTTCAGATGGTTGTCATATATGTAATTTGCAAATATTTATTTGTAAGTTATTGATTTATTGAGATGGAAATAGCTTATAGGTTGCAAAATGTTTATTGTTTTAGGAGTACAATATTACTACACTGTTGTCTTTTGGCCAGAAGGCACAGTTCACAGAGTCTTGTGTAGAAGGTGAAATCACTCCTCCCATCCCACAGTTTGGATTTATGATGTTGAGCAACCTGAAATTTGGGGGGATGAAAGGTGGGCACAGCACTGGGCTTCTCCCTACAAATGCACCTTCCCTCTCAGATCTTGTCACACCGACGCCTTCACATGCGAAATCTGGCTTGTTTGACGAAAGTGAGAAGACGATGTTGAGTGCTGTGGTCCTCAATAAGCTTTAACTGGATTGTCTGACTTCTTGTTTGTTTGGGAGAGGCTCTTTCAAGCAGTATTCAGGCCCAGCAGTATTGTGGTGAAACCATGGGTGCTGGGAATAGAACCCAAGTCTCCCTCCCGTATGCACTCCTGCCCTGTGCGCCACGCCCCTTGCAAACATAAACCAGTTTTGAGAAATGCTTCAGTGTATTACGGTCACTGAAATTAAGGCCTTTCAGAGTCTGATGATGGATTGGGAATAGCATGATTAACTTTCTCCTCAGCATGCATCTGGGGTGAGGGGGCACAGATGTAGAGACTTATTAACAGAGGACACAGCCCTGTGTCTCCAACTTTGCTGGTTTCCATAAGCCTCTCCTTATGTTTCTGCAATGGAGCTGTGGTTTCTTGCTAGAGCTGGGAAACACAAACACAGATGCTCCCAGAAACCAGTGTCACCAGGCAATCAGAGGCTAAACTCCAACAGGAGATGCTAACAGGGGCTCCCCGTTGGGTGAGAGGCTTGAGCTGGGCAGAATCTGTATTCTAGACAGAAGACGGTTTTCCCTACCGATAATGAGACAGTCATGAAATTTTCCTGGGTTCAGTTTGATAGTCTGGCAGTTGCATGCAACTGTGCAACTAGCACTGGAAATAAGTTCTAGAACAGTCCATAACCCTAAAGGTCCCCCTTTGCAGTGAGTTCCTGCCCCATCCCACCCCCATGTGCTTCTGGAACTCTGGTCCCCAGGAGTCTCCCCACTGACCTCTGCACATCCTGTAAGTCTGGGGGCTCTCCTTGTGCGCCGCCTCCCCTATCCCAGCTCCTGTCGTGGGAAGTGCTGAGTGTGTAGTCACCGCAGTCCCTGTAACAACGGAAAACACCCGAGGGGAATCAGTCCCGGCATCAGTCCTCAGAGGTGGTTCAAGTAGCGATAACGGGTATCACTTTGTTTATCTATCATTTTTATTGCCTTGTTGTTTATTTGTTTCTAGAAGTATCTCCAAGATTGTTCTTGATGCTGTTTCCTTGTGACCAATACACAGGCAATGGCAGTTCTGCATAAGGCAACAACAAGGGCCATAGGAGTTCAGGGTACTTCCAAGAGGCTTTTTTTCCCTTTTGGGTCACACCAGGCAATTCAAAGGGGTTATTCCTGGCTCTGCACTCAGGAATCACTTCTGGCAGTGCTTGGGGGACCATATGGGATGCTGGGAATTGAACCCGGGTCAGCCGCATGCAAGGGAAACGCCCTACCCGCTGTGCTATTGTTCCAGCCCCAGAGTATTTTCTCTTAGACAAGTTCTTGCTTGTTTTCATGGTATGTCACCAGTATTCTCATTAGAGAATACTGCTAGTTAGATATTCAGTTCAGCTGGTAGAGGTGTTCACCCCAAGCTGTGAGAAAAAATGAAATTTTGTAATTTCCTCCAACATTGGTAGAATTGGACGGTGTCATACTAAGTGAAGTGGGTCAGAAAATAAAAGATAAATACTGGATGATCTTGCTCAAATGTGAAGTATGAAGAAATAAGAAAACAATTAGACAGTCCCCAGTGTAAACAAACCTTGAGACATGCCAATAGAATTGGGAACTGAGGCGACGGAGGCAGAAAGGGAAGGTTGAGGCGGGGTCCATAGTACAGTGGTAGGGCACTTGCCTACCATACGGCCAATCAGAGTTGGATCCCCAGCACCCCAAATGATCCCCTGAGCCCCACCAGGTAGCAGTGAGCCCTGAGTACAGAGCCAAGAGCAAGCCCTGAGCACAGCCAGCTGTGGGCCCCAAACAAACAAAACTCCCTCCACCATTTTCCCACAATCCCATTGGGTCTGGAGTAAGCACTTGGTTTCACACCCCTGTCCTTTCTTTCGGCCACTGCCACTCAGTCTGGGAAGAGCTATGCTGCAGCCTTTGGACTGAGTCCCAGGTCCTAGGGTCCAACGGGCTCTTCTGAGCTCACCTACGATGACATTGTTCAGCAGCTCGACCTCAGGTCCTCCGTGTTTTCCATCCCCGCACAGGCAGGGCTGGGGGAGACTACTAGGATGCCACACTGCGGTCTCCACTGAGAGCTAATCCCTCCAGCATGCCCTGGAGTCCTCCCATCTCCGTTGTTCTTGCCCTGCCACTCTGAGCACACCTCTCCCTGGTGACAGTCACCTCCCTTCCCTACCCTACTCTTGTCCTCTACTCAGAACCTCTTATCCAAAGCTGGTCCAGGCCTGCTTCTCTCACCCAAAGGCTCCCTCCTGGTTGCTCTGGGTTCAGTGGGCTCCGGGAGGGAAGCTACAGCAGCTCCTGCCACTCGCGCCTGGCTGGGGTTGGGGTGCCCAGCAATACGCAGAGCATCTAGTGAGGCCTGGAGTCAGGCACTATCTTCATGAAACCAAGCACAGTGGAGAGTCTGCAATGCACATTCCATGACAAGCATGTATGCACACATGCACACGTCTCAGAGCTGCCTGCTCCCCAGTGACATCGGGAGGGTTTTCTGTGACAGCCCCTCAGCCCCTCTAGCAAAATGCTTGAGAACAGCCATTAGTATGTGGTCTGCTGCCAGGTAGAGATATGGGGCCACAGGCAGATCCCCGAGTCCCTCAAATGTCTTCCCTCTGAAGTGAGGAAGGAAAGTGATGCCCGTCTTATAAGGAAGTTGAATAACTAAGAGGAGTGTGCAGAAAATGCCCAATACACATGGTTAATTACAAGTGTGTGGGGAAGGGCTGGGGAGATGACTCAAGCATTAGAGCACATGATTTCAATCAATTCCCAGCACCGCATGGTCCCTGAGCACTACTGGGACCCCCTAGCAGGGAGTAGCCCTCAGCAACAACAGCTTCTCCCTCAGGTAATGAACAGCTGTGGATTCCAACAGTCTGTCTCCCCCAGAGCCCAAGGGAGTGTGTCCTATGGGGGTTCGGGTGATGCTTTCTTCTTCAGGGGATGAACAATCAGTACGTCCGCCGGGAGATCTTCTGCCGGAACACCTGTCACGAGCTCAAGCGCTTCTGGGAAAGGGAAATCGGCAAACAGACCTACTACCGAGAGTCAGAGGAATATCGTCTGGGAAGAAGTGCACTGAGAAGGTGTGCAGCTTGGCTGCCTGATTCTTTATTATTATTTTTTAAATTTTATTTAATTCTAGTGATATATATAGAGTTACAAAGTTGTTCATGATTGAGTTGCAGTCATACTATGTTCTAATGTCCATCCCTTTACAGTGTACATTTCCCACCACAAATAGTTCCTGTTTCCCTGCCCCCAGCCCTGCCTGACATATGGTAGGCTCCTCTCTCTCTATCTCTCTATTTCTCTTTTTTTCTCTCTCTCTCTTTCTTTCTCTCCCTTTCTCTCTCTTTCCCTGCCCCCCTCCTCTCTCACTTTCCTATTGCACCTTATGGTTTTCAATATAGATAATGATGAATCTTCAGGTAAATATCTTTACCTACTTTCAACACTTAATTCCTGTCCAAAATTATTTCCAAATATTATTGTCACATTGTTCCCTTTTCTATCCTAACTGTCCTTTGCCTCACACATGCTCTTACAGCAAGTTTCCATCCATTGACCAGTCCTCCTGTCCCCTATTTGCCCTGACCTTAGATATTAGTCTCATATGTAAATATATATATGTATTATACATGGGGCTGGAGCGATAGCACAGCTGGTAGGGCGTCTGCCTTGCACGCAGCCAACACGGCCGACCGAGTTCGATTCCTCCACCTCTCTCGGAGAGCCCGGCAAGCTACTGAGAGTATCTCGCCCGCACGGCAAAGCCTGGCAAGCTCCCCGTGACGTATTCGATATGCCAGACACAGTAACAACAAGTCTCACGATGGAGACGTTACTGGGCCCGCCCAAGAAAATCGATGAACAATGGGAGGACAGTGACAGTGACATGTATTATACACACAAGCACATATATTATATAACATCACTTAAATGAATGCAGTCATTATATATCTGTTCTTCTCTTCTGACTCATTTCACTCAGCTTGTTGTTCTCCATGTCCATTTATTTATAAGCAAGTTTCATGACTTCAGTTTTCCTAATAGCTGAGTAATATTCCACTGCATAGATGTGCCATAGTTTCTTTAACCAGTCATTTGTTCTCTGGCACTCGGATTGTTTCCAGATTCTGGCTATTGTGAATAGTCCTGCAATGAACATAGAAGTAAGGATAGCATTTCTGTTGTATTTCTTCATTAATGAGTTTTTTCAAATAAAGTTAATCTGGGGCAAGGAGGGTACACTTGGCGGTGCTGGGAGAAGGGGCATGTGATACCCAGATTGAAATCACAGCCTCAAAAGTTCAAGGTAAGTCTCACATTCAAACCACACCCAAGCTCCTCATCTGTTCACTATTCCCTCTCTTTTTCTGCCTTCTTGGGGATTAAATATTTTTATCACTCCATTTTATCTGCTGTATTAGTGTTATTTTCTCTTTCATGTGATTGAGTGGTTGCTCTAATATTTCTATTTTTTTTTCCTTTTTGGGTTTTTGCACCACACCCAACACTACTCAGGTTTTACTACTGACTCTGCCCTCAGGGATTACTCTTGGTGAGCTCAGGGTACCGGGGTGCTGGGGATCAAATCCAGGTCTCCCACATGCAAGGCAAGTGCTCAACCTGCTATACTATCATCACTCTGGCCCTGCTCTAAGATTTTGATCACCCTGACCTTACCACACTGTAGCTCCAAGCAAGGCCAGAAATTTCCAAGGGTATATTTACGTGAGGTCTTCCCTGCTGGCCTTGTGATGGACACAAATTACAGTATGACTTTTGCTTATGTCATAAATGCCACATTGAGAAAAGATAACCAGTTTTGGTTTCAACTGTTGATTATCTTGTTTCTGTTCTGGTTTTGGGACCAGGTTCTTGTGTGGGGGCCACATCTGGCTGTGCTCAGGTCTTACTCCTGGCTCTATGCACAGGGACCACTCCTAGTGGAGCCCAGCAGACAATATGTGGTGCCAGGGATGATCCTGAGTCGGTAATGTGCAAGGCAAGTCCCTTACTCACTGTAATCTCTCTCTGATCCGTCTTTTAAAAGAGATTTAAATAACAATAATAACCTGTTCACTTGTAGCCATATTACAACTTTTTCCGGGGGCTCTGCTCTCCATTATGTAGCTTTCTGTCTGGGATCAGAGTTCCTCTTTTGAGAGTAGTCCTCGAAGCTGTCTGGTAGTGACAGTTGGCTGGTGATGGATTCCTTCAGCTCTTGCAGCTCTCAAAACATCTCTGTTTGGGGGTGGGATGGGGTGGAGGAGGGACTAGAATTCAGTGGATAGGGTGCTTGCCTTGCAGGTTCAATCTCCAGTACCCCATATGGTGGCCCAAACTCCTCCAGGATGACCCTTGAGCTCAGAGCCAGGAATAAGCCCTGAGCACTGCCCAATGTAGCCCAACCCCTCCCCCCCCCCAGTCCCAAATCTCTAATTTGAAACATGGCCTTGACAGATAACTTTGCTGAGTAGGTTAACAGACTGACCAGTTCACAGTTCACACACACATATGCTCACCTACACACACACACACATACACATACACAAACACAAACACACACACATACACACACATCCTTTAAAGATATTTCTTTGGATGTCTATGAATTCAAAGAAAATATTAAGAAGCAGATTAAGAGGGGCCAGGCAATAGTGCAGTAGGGAGGGCATTTGCCTTGCATGTGGCCAACCTGGGTTCGATTCCCAGCATCCCATATGTTCCCCCTAGCAATGCCAGGAGTGATTCTGAGCACAGAGCCAGGAGTAACCTCTGAGCACCACCGGGTGTGAACTAAAAAGCCAAACTAAATAAATAAATAAATACTTTTTTTAGAGAAAAAATTGAGATTAGAGTACTTTGAACAGACGTGAGAGTTACAAGATGAATATATTTAATTTTGCAAGCCTTCTACATAACTCTGGAAGCAAATACACACACGCACGCACGCACGCACGCACGCACGCACCTGTCTTTTTAGGGAAAATAAGAAAAGAAGCGTCCCTGACGCAGCAGCCATGGGCAGACAGGCTCTGTTTGCGTATGTTCTGTTTTTATTTTCAGGCTCAGAGAAGAATGGAAGCAGAGACTGGAAACAAAGCTGAGGCTGAGGAACAATTCAGAAGAGACTGAAAAGCGGGCCAGTGTCGGCCGGGAGCTTCTTGCTTCATTGACGCCGGAGGATTCAGAGCGCTGAGGTCACTCTTCTAGAAGCTCCTGCAACTGCCCACTCGTGCCGCTCTCTTTACAGTAACTGACGCTCGCTCTGTCTGCCCTTCCACCCCACCTGACAGGGGCTCCCTGTCAGTCCGTTCTCAGTGCTAAGTGGGATGACTGGCCAAGTCTGACCTCTCTGCAAGAAGACCAGGATATTATCCCCCAGCGTCCCTAAAATGCGATTATTTAATGTCTAAGCTCCATGCAGCATACTGTAGTTATATATAATTCTATTTTGAACTCCAAATATTTTAAATTCCAAGCACATGAGGGAAGAGGATCTTTATGGTCATATTTCAACTCGTCACGGTTGTTCCACTCCTCAGATACAATTTCATGGAATCCTTTCTCTTGTCTTCTTTTTTGGCTGAGGGAATGGGGGAAGAGACGGCCTCCCCACACAATCCTGGGGATGAAACCTGGTGCTCCATGCAAGTTAGGCATGTGCTCCATCCCTTTGGGCTAGCTCCCCATCTTATTTTACTTTTATGAGAAGGAAAACGCAACTATCTACAAACATTAATATAGTGTAAATAGTCTTTAAAATAAGGATTGAGAAAAAATTGATCTCATGGCATTTTTTCTTGCATGAATTAAAATCAGCTAAATAAAAATATATACTAATCTTGAACCATTAGAAAATAATAAAGTACTTTTAGTAAAACTTATTTGTCTTACCAGGTGTGTGTGTGTTCATTGTGTCTTCGCTTCCTTGTCAATCACCACTTGCCTGCATTGGTAACTTACTGTCCATCAACTCCGCCAAAATATAGCCTGGCCACCCCAGAGAAACACTCGTCACATAGATTCTGATCCTTCAAATGTCATTGTCACTACCCAGCCACTTCAAAAGAACAGTCAATGTAGGGTAGTTGCTTCTGAAAGTGCAAACAGGTCTGGATCTTGGGAACAGAGGGGCAGCGTGTAAAAGCCTGAGAAGGTGCTGGCAGTAGATGGGGAGCAACTGCAAAGTCCTATGTGCACAGAGGCCATGATCCTGGGGACATAGAGCAGGACAGGGGCTTTCTGGGTAACAGGAAGAGTAAGGCTCCAGTCCACCCATCTCCCTGCTGTGGCATAAAGTGCCGTTGGTTCTGGAGCCACAAAGAACCTCCAGTACCTATCATGCTGGATAAGAACTGAGTGTTGGAAGTAGGTAAAGGGATATACACGATAACCTTTCAGGATCTTTATTGCAAACCATAATGCCCAAAAGGAGAGAATGACAGAGAGAGAGAGAGAGAGAAAGAGAGAGAGAAGTTCCTACCACAGAGCAGGGAGGGAGAGTACTGGGGGGGGGGTGGTAGGAGGGAAACTGAGGACATTGGTGCTGGGAAATGTAGACTAGTGGAGAGATGGGTATAGAACACTGTATGACTGAAACTCAATCATGAATAGCTTTTTTTGTTTGTTTGTTTGTTTGTTTTTGCTTTTTGGGTCACACCCAGCAATGCTCAGGGGTTACTCCTGACTTTGCACTCAGAAATCACTCCTGGCAGTGCTTGAGGAACCATATAGGATGCTGGGAATCAAACCCGGGTTAGCCGCGTGCAAGGCAAATGCCCTGCCCACTGTGCTATTGCTCCAGCCCCCATAAATAGTTTTGTAATAGGCCATCTCATAGAGATTCAATTAAAAAAATTTTTTTAAAGAATCTCCTATTTTGTGCTATCCTCCTGTATGACATAGTGGAACAGAGATCATTCTCATGCAGAATCCTAGCTGGGTGACCTGAGTCACCTCGCTGAAGCTCTGAGTTCCAGTTTCTTCATCTTTAAAGTACAGTTAACAGTAGCACCTTCCTCATAAGTGAAGTGTATGACACGGTCAGCTATGGTAGGCAGAACTCTTAGAAAGCCCCCAAGTACCATCAGTACAC